CTACGATGGTCCGAGCAATACATCGGCAAACCGCCTCTGGGACCGAACCTAGGGAAACAGCTCTTCAGGGAAAAGTCACGTCAGCAAGGAGAGGACCAGGAGAAGGATGGGAGCGTGTAAAGGGAAAGAGACGAAGTGTAAGAGTTGGAGCGAAGAAGTAGACGAGGAATGAGAAAGAGGAGGAGGAGGAGGAGGAGGAGGAGGAGGAGAGAGGAGGAGGAGGAGGAGGTGGGAAAAGTGCGACTTACTTTGCTTTCCTTTCGCATGCTCCAGCTTCTGTCGAGCCTTTTGCTCTCCCATTCTTGCAGGATGTCACAAGTCAGGAAAACACTTCCATCTCCTCCATCACCTGGCACATCAAAGAAGTTAAGAAAACATGCCCCGCCCGCTTGTGCTCCGTGCAGAAACCGTTGGAAACTGAAGAGCACAGCCATTACACAGGAAACTTGTACGACCCAACATTCAGCTATCAGCGCGTGCATGTCTTTCTGACAATCGCCCATCAATGTGTTTCTGTGTGTACATGTTCATCTGCCTTTCTGCCTCTGCAAGTGCAAGAAAGGATCTACACATGCATTTGCGCGAACGGGACAACAACCCCGCAATCGGCTGCCACATTTGACTGCGCAAGGGGGGTACCTTTGTCGAAGGGCGCACCGAAGATAGCGCTTTTCATGCACCTCTGCCCTCCAGGCATGTGCTGGTTACACCTCGGATGAATCTGATTCGTCTCTCCTTTCTCCCTGCCAGCACGACACGGATCAGCTCAGTCAAACGGGAGGGTGTTGAAGTGCATCGAGGGGAGCGAGGCTGTGAGACCTGTGCTCGGAGCAGTGCAGGCGAGATCCTGTCTTGGTCCTTCAACCAAGTCTCAACCTCCTCGAGAGCTCAGGGATGGAGTATGGTACCCGTTGATGGGATGGCCGAAGATCGCCGTCTTGCTGCACTGGAGACAACGGCCCTTGAGTCGACGAACCTCAACTTCGTTGCTGCTGGTGTGCAGGAGCAGCATCAGGGCGGGGCGAGTGTTAGAGTCTACATGGAGCCGTCAGTACAGGCCAACAAGGAGGGCAAGGAGGACCGCTCTTGCAGCTCCGGCACAGCAGCACCAGCCATCTTGGATCTGTGTGAGGAGCGGAGGGAGGGGAGAAGAACAATTTCACCTCAACTCTGAAGGAGCCCTCAGGCCGAAGACAGCGCCTGCGCCCTGGCAGACATGGCACAGCCCGTGAGCAGACTCTGCCATGTCCATATTCCCTTGTTTGCGCATACTGGATGAGTTCTGGTGGGGTTGACTGTCAGGCCTTTGACGTTGCAGCTGCACGAGCTCGAGCGGACATCGTGACTTGCCTGAATCACAGCAGAGTGGCTGAGGACTCCCTTCCTGTAGATGTGTAGCACGTCCCGATCGCCCGCGAACCGGTGATTCGCACATCGCAATGGCCTGCACGCGCATAACAGCGATTGTTCAGTCATTGAAAGTGACAGACATCCAGGTTTGCAAACAGAGACATCAAAGTCTGCAGACAGAGAACTTCTTCCTGATTCACACTGGACCTTCATCTCCTCATAAAAGTGCTCAGGTACACATCGACTTGCTGAGCAAGCAGCTTCGAGGCTGACGTTACCTCGCAGCCACGACTCCATAGATCGCATACTGGCTGCACATTTCACACCGCCTGCACAAACTCAAGAGGCCCGACGAGACCGTTGAGTTTGCGATCTGACAGCATCTGCAGCCCACAGAGTCTCGTCATCACAACGACAAGGCCAAGAGCATAGCATGCTACCTCCTGCACAAGAACGATGTCCATGTCCTGTCCGCGCTGGCAATGCCGCGCACTATCTTGGGACTGGTGCACCCGGAGCAGAGCGGGGGCTCGAGGACGAGGAGCACGTCGAGCAAACAGACAGCAAGAGCGCAGACAGTGGCAGGAGGATGGAGAGAGCAACACGCTCTCTCATCCAGCTAAGAGCACCATCCCTCGCAGCTCCTTCCTATCCACGCTGCCCGCCCCCGCCCCCCGCCACCTTTCTACTGTACATGATGCTGAGAATGCCCGCTAGTGACGCGATGACCATCTCCCCTCCTCCCCTCGTTGCTCCTCTCCTGTCGCTGCTCGCCTGCCTGCCTCCCTCCCTGCCTGCCCTCGTTGCTCCCTCCCCTCCGCTGTCGGGGGACTCATCGAAGAAAAAGGACCAAGAAAAATCTGTAAAGATTGCAACGGCAAGTAACGGTTTTCCGAGGTGTCGCACAATGCTGGCGCGGTTTGTGCCGTTCCTTGCGCTCTCGACGCCGAAGTCGATCTATGACCAGGGGCCAGCATGCCAGGTGAGGAGCGATTATGATGATGATGATGACGATGACGATGACGATGACGATGACGATGATGATGATGATGATGATGATGTTGATGACGATGATGACGATGATGTTGATGATGATGATGATGCTGATGCTGATGATGACGAGGAGGAGGAGGAGGAGGAGGAGGAGGAGGAGGAGGAGGAGGAGGAGGAGGAGGAGGAGGAGGAGGAGGAGGAGGAGGAGGAGGAGGAGGAGGAGGAGGAGGAGGAGGAGGAGGAGGAGGAGGAGGAGGAGGAGGAGGAGGAGGAGGAGATGGATGAGGAGGAGGAGGAGGAG